GAACTTGAACTCAGGGCCTGGACACTGTCCTTTAGCTTTTTGGTTCAAGGCTAGAAATCTACCACTTTCTGGTTTTCTGGTGGTTAATTTGAGACAAAGAGTCTCATTGACTTTCCTGACTCTATTGGTTTTGAGGTGCAATCCTCAGATCTCAGCCTCCTGAGTAGCTAGTATTTCCAAGCTTGTACTACCAGTGCCAAGTTAGATGGATTCTTAATGCTTGATTCAAGTTATTTTGTTCATTACAAATCAAGTAGATGTTTCCAGACAGTTTCTTCCAATGCACACTAATTTTATGAGTGTAGTGCTAATTCTTCTGTTGCCTACATATTTAGAGAATAAAGTCTTGTTTGCCTCACAATGGATTTACTAATTCTGGCTCTCCCCCAAATAGTTACATTTATGCAAGAGCCTATTCTCAGAAACCATTATAGAGAGTTGCAAAAACTCAAGTGACTCATTGAAACCTGAGTAAAATCAGAAAATGGAGGAAAAAATTTAATTTTGCACTATTCAAATGCTGTTTCTACAACTTATATATTTAACCACAATTTCTAGAATCTCTCACCAGCAGTTAAATTATAATATCATCTTCTATCAATCTTAGAGCAATTCTTCTGTAGGCATATCCCATTTTGAAGAACAGCCTGTCACCTGAGATCTACCGCAGGAATATTGATAGTCTAGTTCTTTCTAGATAAGGGAATCCAAACTCTAGAAAGGCACCAAATGTCCAGTGGCTTACTGAATACTTCATGTGGTTTGGACAAACCTAGAATTGAGAGTCATTAAATCAGGAAAACACTTGAAATCTTGCCTCTGTTTAGGGCAGTGTATAACTCTACAATGGTGGCTTTTTCAGTCATCAGGTCTCACCTCTAGCTTCTTTGTCTTAATATATATCCAGAGCCTTTGATTTGCAATCTTCATACTAAGTTCTGAGTTTGTGGGTACTTGCTGTTGCATTCAGTGTGTGTGAGGTCAGGTGGCACACTGCTGAAATGAAGAATTTTCAGCCAGAAGGGTTCTCTGGACTGAATGGCCTGTGCTCCATGCCTTTACAATTGTGTTTTGCCATGGAACTCAAGAAGTCTACCTCCAAGAGAGTTTCACTGTTATTAGTGCCTTCTTTTGTTATTCTCCTCCACCCCCCCGCCCTCCCCCCCACACTCAGGAATCTACCTCAGCTGATGTGGGGAAGTATTACTTTTCCACAATCTTCTCCTATTAGCAGGGTGATTTCTATTATGAAATGTTAAAAAAAGAAACCTCATAAACGTCAACAACTTGAGATACGTTTTTATCCCTTGGGAAAGAATCTTTCTTTCACTTTATTATGATAATGCTGGCTTATCTGGAGTCCTTTGTTATTGTGCCTCAATAAAGGCTGTGTTAGAAGAAATAATTTGCTTTGTGTTTGCATAGAAAAAAATTGATTTAGCAACAAACCCCACAAAGGCAACTAAATTACTCCATCAAAATAAAGAACTGGAATTTGGATGGTTCCAGTTAGGCTTTTCAGTCCTACTTGTTTTCAGTTGCTCCCTGCTCCTGCCTGTATCTTCATGAAATTACTGAGTTTAGTTTACAATATATTTTCTAAGCTGTCCTTCTGGCATCCTGAGGTGGGGAACAAGGACATTTATGGGAAAGAGAAGATAATTATTCTATTAGATAATGCTTCTAAAGCCTTTGCCAAAGTATTCTTTATAATATTTGGACATATTCAATTAGAACTAGATGACTAAGATATTCGTTCCCAGAGCTAAGGAGATGTGGTGAGTCAAGTATTGAATAAACTCGAAGAAGACTGAAGGAGAAAAATCTTTTCTGGCAATGATAGCTGGAATGCAGCCATCTTGTGACAGAACAGGGAAGAAGAAAATAAACATGGGAGCAAAGGAAAAAACACCATCTCAAAAGACACAAAGAATAGAGAACTTGATTAAGTAAAAGCTAAATCAGTTATTGTTTATTCTGCATTGAATGTTCTTGAGTTATGAATAACCACATACTTAGGGAGATTGAAAAACGTATTATGTAACACTGATACAAGATATCCTATCAAGTGAATACCAAACATTATGATGTAAGGATATTTTGTTGCAAGCAAAGAATATATTAACTAATTTTGATATTTATATTACACTGATTTATTCATTATATAAGTGTGGACTTTGATGAACAAATGTTAAAATTTAGAAATAGAAAGACTTGTATATGTATATTTCTCAATTCATTCAAATTTAGCAAATAAGATATTTCAGTACTACACCAAATAGCAAGGTCATTGAATGACTGACTGCTTTTGTAAGAGAAGCCAGAGAGGTTCCAGAAACAAACAGCAAAATAATGTGCATTCCTGTTATTCTAGTGTCATACTGTGTGCTAGATAAATCAACCAATAGAAATGTTTTGTATGTTCTCTCAATACAATAGGGAATTGGTAAGTTAGGAGAAGCTGAGCAGGTCTGAGAACTCATCTTTCCAGGATGACATTTGCTGAGATCTTCTCTCCTTGTCACTGCCTCTGGGCTATGCACTTGTCATTTCTGGTCTACACTCTTTTGTGGACATTGTACTCCTAGACATAATTTGTGACATAAGTGACAGTTCTAAAGGCAGATAAAGAAGACAACAGGCATAGACAATTTACTGTAAAGCAATTAACTCAGAGAGAGCCTTCCCAACACTAACTGATGAATTACAAATACAGGCAAGACCAAGGCCAAAATCACACATGGGAATGACCTTTTCATGTTTGTAAAGCTTAGGAAAACATAACAAACAGAACAGTCAATTCATAAGAAAATCAATGAAAAGTAAGGATAGAAAGGAGAAAGGATAGAGACAAAATGGAAGAATAAATACAGGCTCAAGGCTAATTACATTTATATTTGAGTGTTCTTGACTGTAGCTTAGCAAAAGGGGACAGAGATGTTTTATATCTAATATAGGTTTCAATAGCATAAGCATAGAATTCAGCCAGATGGACAGACAGGCATTCATGAGTCCCTGGCCTCATATTTTGTATATGTTGTTTCACAAGTTCAAATGGCAGTTTAAAGATGATTAAAAGAAGGGAAAAGACAAACCCAAGTAAATTCTTCTTAATGGTAATAATAAATGCTCTCCAAGCACAGTACGTTGGGGGTTATAGTTTCTGTAAATTTGTTAAGCCAAACTAAGGGCATTTTTCTTTCCCTGGTTTTAAAAGTTGCTTATTTTATGCACAAGCAAGCGTGAACAGAACAGCTTCGGATAAACCCAAAAGCTATTCTGTCTCATTATATTGGATGACAAATATGATCTTAGAGCTTCACATCAAACCAGTGGAAAAACAGTTATCTATAAAAGCAAATATGGGCAGAAATTTCCCTACAAAATTAAAGATTCAAGGCAATGTCTCTGGAATATGTTTTTCCCTTTAGACTGCTTCTATTCCATGAAACATCTGTTTCAATTTCCTCTCTTCCTGGAGCCTCCTTTTGGTCTCTGAAAATCCATTCCATCTGAATTGGCTTCATTCTGCCCCCCTCCTCTTCCTCCCCTCCGCACCCTGATGAGATTCATATGTCTCTCCATAGATTTACTTAGTCTTCTCAGCCAGAGATCTGACCAGGCTTTATAATAACTTTCTAGAGAATCAAATGCAAAATGATTTCCCTTTTGATTGATTTCATTCTTGAAATGTTTGCAAGTAGTAAGCATCCATGCATCCATTGAGCCCTTCCAGGAAAATGCCTACAGTTAAGCATAGAGCTATGAGTTAAATGTATCTCCAATAAGAAAATCTTTTAACAATTATGCTTTGTGAGTGCTTGTATTTTTGCCTACTAGGCTATATTGTAATGGTGTAAAGGTAAAAGACATAACTGAGTTAACCAGCCAATAGATTGGGATATGCATAGACAGGTTTGTTGTTTCTTTCAAAGGGTTTGTTTCTGATGTGATGTATTCAGATGCATTTGAATCTCTTAAATATGTCATAAAATGATACGTGTATCTTCAAAATCAGATAGTTATTTTAAACAATCAGAAAATATCCAGTCTAACTACCTATCCCATAGACTGAAGTAATGGATTGCACATCATTTGACATAAAGTAATTTAGAAAGCAATCTATGTGAGTTTTGCTCTTGTAAGCAAATAAAACAGAGATGAAAGACCCAAGAAGTCCATATTAGAGAGGATTTGCTCTAAATGCAAAGAACATTTTTACAAGCAAAAAATTATAACACCAAAGGTGCAACTCAAAACAGAAGCAAATATAATTTGAGAGAAACAGGACTTGAAAAAGTTTCATTTTTGCAATTTTATAAACTACTCTGGTAAAACTCTCACAAAGGTCAGTTTGAGCAAATACTTTATTTGTGATCCAAATAATATTGAATGTATGGGAAGTTCATGTAATAATAAGATCACTCAGTTTTAATGTCACTGTACATATTGTTTTAGAAGGATACTTTCTAGTAAAATATCAAAGAACACTGTAAATTGTTGGTGAAGAAGAGAATATTTACATAGAAGAAATGAGAGATTAAAAAATGAAAAGAAAATATACACCCTTTACTCATCCATTTTCTTCTTCAAGGGAGTTGAATGAGAGCTGAGGAGTGAAGGGCATTTGGGGTTTTACTTTGAGTAGTATCAAATTAATTTGAACCCTTCACAAAATAATTCAATTCTTATACATCTCTGCATCATCAGAAAACAATAAATAGGGACCTTCAAACCCCATGAAATGAATGAACATGTAAAATGCTAAATGTCGAAAGCCAGGAGACAATTTCTAAAGTTTAAGAAATGAATCTCAGCAAAAGCAACATTTGATAGTTCATAGATCCATTATGTGCTTGCACAAGCAAGCAGGCCAAACATCTTGTTGAACACAACACGAGTGACATCTTGTGGCAAAGAAGTTACATTTCCCATTCAGGTCCGAGACAGGGACAGGTGACAGAAAACTACCTGATGATTCATTTTCCTTTCGTGTTCAGATTGAAAGAGTGACGGTGATGCCATCTGGGAACAGAGAGCTCCTCCATCTAGGCCCAGAGATGGGGGAGATCCAAGAGGAAGAAGATGAGGAGGAATCCACCCCCAGGCTGATCGATGGCTTTTCCCCACAAGAGCCAGAATTCACAGGGGTTCTAGGCCCACACACCAATGAAGGTACATCGCAGACACATTAAACTGAGAGTCTCCTTCCTCATCTCTCAAAGCCACCAGGTTCTAACAACTCGGTGGTGTTGCATGATTCAGAAAAATCTGACATATTAGAATACACTAAGCTCAAAGCAGGAGCTACAAATGTGTATTATGCATACAAATATAAAACCATTTTAATAATTCATCTTTGGCCTGATGGGAAAAAATCAAATAACCAATGATTTGTGGAAGAAATCTTTGCATTTAAATATTACACAAAACATTTGTGGTGGCAAAGATTTCTGAGACAATGAGCATTGGATTCAGAAGATGAAATCTCTTGCCTTTGTGATCAAACCGTCCCAATTCAAAGTGATAAAGTGTTGACAGATGAGGGTGAGGATATAATACTTTGCACTGACTAAACAGGTGCCATCTACGCCTCACCATACTGAGACCTTCTGCTATTTAATCTATCACAACCTCCTGTGAGAGTGTTCATAATACTTCTTTCCTTAACCTGAGGAAACTGTAACTCAAGAGAGTAGTTTATCAGATGCAAGGTGGATATAGTGCTAGTCTGTTGTGATTTCTGGACTGTGTATTTATTGGAAATGTATGCTTTATCAATTAAAAATCTCTAGAATTTACTTATTCTGCATTACTGAAACTTGATTCCTGTTGAGAAGTATTTTAGTCTCTAAAGTGTTCTTCTCTTTTTGAGGGTGGGGGTTGAGAGGATGGAGGTGGGTCCTGGAGCTTGAACTCATGCCCTGGTCTGTCTCTGAGCTTCTTTGCTTAAAGAAATTTGTCCTGCCTTTTCAGTCTTAAAATGGTTTTCATTCCTGTAGTTGTTACTATAACTGATTGTCCTACTTAATGCCAATGAAACCTTTATAGGCACATTATTAGTTCTTGATCACCAACTACAAGTGGGGCCCTTTTATCGAATTGTTTGAATCAAATATATAATAAACATATTACGTGTGCTATTTTAACTATATAAGAAAACAATATCTCATAATTGCAGGGTTGTTTTATTTTTGCCAGTCCTGGACATGAACTCTGGGCCTGGGCGTTGTCCCTCAGCTCTTCAGCTCAAGGCTAGTGCTTTACCACTTGAGCCACAGCGCCACTTCTGGCTTTTTCTGCTTATGTTCTGTTGAGGAATCGAACTCAGGGCCTCCTGCATGCAAGGCAAGCACTCTACCACTGACCCAACTTCCCAGCCCTCAAAATTGCATTTTGAAAACATTTCTGAAGCTTATAAAAGCAACAACCATGATGTAGCCACTCTAAACTTTAAAGGAGATCTTTAGAATGTTATTGGGAGCACATTCAATCAAGTATTTCCTTTTGATACTTCTTTTTTTTAAAAAAAATCTATGGTTAAATAAGGAATGTGCCAGGTGAGAGATTCTTCTTGACTAAATATTGCTATCCACATTACTCCTAGAAAGATGCCATTACTCACATATTTACCTTCCCTTTCAGACTTTCCCACCTGCCTCCTGTGTACTTGCATTAGCACCACAGTGTATTGTGATGATCACGAATTGGATGCTATTCCTCCACTTCCCAAGAACACTGCTTACTTCTACTCACGCTTTAACAGAATCAGAAGGATCGACAGAAATGACTTTGCAAGCCTGAGTATGGATGCTAGAATTGTGATGTTCTTTCTTTATTGACTTCCCTGAACCTTTTATATTATAATGAAGTAGACAAAATATACCTCATAAATCAGTTGATTTCCTATGTGAGCATCTCAGTTTGTTCAGATAATAAGAAGAATAAACAATGAATGGCCAAGATGAAAGTCTTGTCAACTTAATATAAATCATAAATAATTACATGGACTATTTTCAATAGAAATAGATTTCAATAGAAATCATAAATAATATATACTAGTACTTACCATGATACATATGACATTCAGGAGAAAATGTAATGGTCATATATTAACTGAGTTTTAGCTGTTTTGAACAAGCTTCTATGAAAGCATACTTGCTTTATGATTGATGAATATAAGCTTATATTTTGACTTTATAGTTATTGCCAACTTAAGAGTATCAGTTTCTACCTTTGTATAGTATTTTCACCACTTGAAGATTTCTTTTTATTGCCTGTATCTTTGGCTATTAGTAAATATTCCATATAGGAAAATATATGAAATGGAAAAAAATCTAAACAAAGTTTATGAAAAGTGTGAAGACCAATTTTTTAAAAACAATGGACAAATTTCTTTGCTATGAATTCTTATACCTGTAAGTAAAGTAGGAGGACATAATTTTTTTAATAAAATAGCTAATTAATTCCACTAACTCCAATACCAGGGAAATTCCTATTCTTATTTTCAACACACATGACATTTTATATTCACATTTTGTGTAAGTATACCATCATCAAGAGTACCTAGCTACCATATTCATTTTTCCTCCTAGATAATTTAAAAAGGATTGATCTGACATCCAATTTAATATCTGAGATTGATGAAGATGCGTTCCGAAAGCTGCCACAACTTCGAGAGCTTGTCCTGCGTGATAACAATATAAGGCAGCTCCCAGAACTGCCAACGACTTTGACATTTATTGATATTAGCAACAATAGACTTGGAAGGAAAGGGATTAAGCAGGAAGCATTTAAAGTAAGTTTTACATTTCATCTGACAGTTTTTCTCTCCTTTCGCTTGCTGTCCATTGCAAGTCTTTTTATTTCTTTGGGCAGAATTAATTTAATAACACTTTTAACCTTTAAAATAAATCTTCATTCTGGAATATTCAAACACCCACCTACAGGGAGAGTCTAGAGGTAGATAAGCCAGCCAGTAGGATTTACTTAAAACTCTATTCCAGAAGAAAACCTGAAATGGTTAAAAGATGATTAAATGAGTATGTATGTTGCTTTGAGGACAGAAAGCTTCTAAATTATCCTATAAGATGTGTAGGATTCAGTTAACATTTGATTTTGCTTTGTTGAAGATAATAAGTGTGGTACTAGAGGATTTGCTTTAAAAATAAAAAAACAGTAACCAAATAATTTTGTCACACAATCTTACCTATTGGAGCTATTCTTCTAAATATACCTTACACAAAGCATTTCAAAGTGCTCTTTGAAGAAACACCACAGCATTTAGAAGACAGTTATGGTGGGTGATGTGTCCATGTGGCCACTATTTATCTGCCAGTGGTGGATGAGGTCTCTTCATAGCCGGAGAAAAGATGAAATCTCTAGGCATGGGCAGTGTTCAGTCATTGGTTTGGTGGGATGGCTGGGCCGTGGACTAACTCTTGTCTATATCTGCTCTGTCTTGCTAGGCTGCCTTTTTCTTTACTAAGTTACCAGTCTTTATTGTGGAGGAATAACGCCTAGACCATGAAGGGAATTCTGTATCTTACCAAAATCGGAATGCAAATGCCCTCTATAGGAACTAGCTTCCTAGCTCAAAATGAGAAATTCATACTGAACAAAGTATGGTTCTTTCTAGGGATTGAGAAATAGATTTCATTTTCATAAAGTAACACTTGATCATAGCCAATGTTTTCTAAAATTAGGTTTTGTTATCTGGAAAACTTTGAAAAAAAGGCTAGATAGACATATTATTTTAAGGCTAGATAGACACATATTATTAGTTGCAAGGAGATACTTTTATTAAGTCCTGCATTTGAAATACTTACAGGACATGTATGATCTCCACCATCTCTATCTGACTGATAACAACTTGGACCATATTCCTCTGCCACTCCCAGAAAACCTACGCGCCCTTCACCTCCAGGTAAGGCTTCTAATCATATGGTGAGCCTGAAGCTCCAGGAAAAGCAACACCAAACTGATGATGTATGTCTGGACACATGGGGCAGATTTTCTGCTTCTTACTCTCATTGCTTCTATCTGATCACACAGTATCTGTACATTCATGGCTCTATCTAGCTTGATTTCTAATAACCTTAGCCATTCTTTCTACACTCTTCAAGATTATGATGTATCTTTTGGATACTCAGAAGTTCTTAATATAAGAAAAAAGTAAAAGCTTCACATAATGAAAACAATATAGAAGAATTAGAAGTGGAAGAGAAATACAATAGCAAAAGATGAAGTACTGGCACGGACTGTAATATATATGACTTTTGAAAACATGGATGCAAATTACAAAACTGAATCTCACAATGTGGTTTAATGATTCCATTTATGTAAATTCTCAAGAAGAAAAATGTCCATAGAAACAGAAAGTAGACTAGCAGTTGTCGGTGCTGGGGTGGGGGGAGGAAGAGGATAGTCACTGTTCATATACTTGGAGTTGCTTTAGTTGATATTGAAAATATTTTAAAATTACATTGCTGAAAATCCACAGTATCATTCATATTATACATTATTTTTGGTTGGTCATGAGGCTTGAACACAGGGCCTACGTGCTGTCCCTGAGCTTTTACACTCAAGGCTAGTGCTCTATTACTATGATCCGCAGCGACAGTTCCAGTTTCCTGGTAGTTAATTGGAAATAAGAGTCTCATAGACTTTCCTGCCCAGATGGTTTGGAACTGTAATTCCTGATATTTCCTCCCTCTCTCTTTATTTTCAACCTAGCTAACTTGAATGTTAAATGTGGAGAGAGATACATTGCTTACCAGCTCATTAGGATTTTGAGTTTGATATTTTCTCTTCCTGTAATAGTCTTCTTTTGGTTCTTCCCAGGCCTCTGCCTTCTTGTCATTCTATTCTCAGCTCAATTGCTACCTCTTAAGGTAACTTCACAGCCTCTATCCTTTCTTTCTAGTACTCTTGGTTTTGGGGAGTATTTTTTTTATTCAGTCAATTTTCTGATATATTCATTTTATATTTTGCTAACATAATCTCCATAAAGACAGGAATATGCTTATTTTGCTCCTTTATTTATATATGCTTAGCATGTAATAATCGCCCAACGCAAAATCTTTTGTTTTTTTTTGGTCGGTCGTGGGGCTTGAACTCTGGGTTTTCGCACTCTCCCTGCGCTCTTCAGCTCAAGGCAAGCGCTCTACCACTTGAGCCACAGCACCACTTCCGGTTTCCTAGTGGTTTATTGGAGATAAGAGTCTCACAGACTCCTGCCCGGGCTGGCTTTGAACCGTGATCCTCAGATCTCAGCCTCCTGAGTAGCTAGGAGTACAGGTGTGAGCCACTGGCGCCCGGCTCCAATGCAAAATTTTGATTGAGGAAAGATACAAAGAATGAAAAGAGCAAAATAGGTCACACACAGAAAATGCTGAGGATATGGTATGTCTTGTCTTATATTTCATTTTTATGTTTTCTAGAATAACAACATTTTGGAGATGCATGAAGATACCTTCTGTAATACTAAAAATGTAACTTATATTCGTAAGGCATTAGAGGACATTCGATTGGATGGAAACCCTATCAATCTCAGCAAAACTCCACAAGCATATATATGTCTACCTCGTTTGCCTATTGGGAGTCTTGTATAAGTTCAGATAAGGATTGGAGCCATGACACTTGCTTTCACAAACCAACTCTTAATGGTCTTTTCAGAAAACAGAAATCAACATGTTTTCAAAATTATGTTCTAAAAGATAGTGCAACTACACAAACTCCAACTAAAAATGTTAAGATATGATAAATATCAAATGAATTAGGAATCACCCAATAAAATAATGGAATGAGAAAAACTATGTGATAGGAAAGATTTCATAGATGGTCTTATAATTCTTGATAACTTGGTGATTCATAGCCTATCTCCTTTCAAATTAAGTATATGATAAAGAACAACTGAAAACACACACATTAGATCTTTTCCCAAGCTTAGATGGTTTTAATAAACTTTTATATTCCTTTTTGCTCACTAATGCATGTCTTCCCCTAATGCACAAATAAAAAAGATCATAAATAAAATAGTACATGTGTTGGAAACTTACAATGGCCTTAAAGGGAACTATTCATTATAATTGCAATTTTGAGAGATGATGTTTTATGATGTTAAATACTTGATAACTCATTTTAGAGTGGTCCTAAATTGACTAGTTATATGGTGTGTTTTTGTGCATGTACAAAACTGGAATATGGAAAACTGAACCTATAAAAGATGTGATGATAATCATACAAGGGAAGAAGCTAAGAAAAGCTTTGTGGAGCAATGTAATCTTTCAAAAATGAGTATCCATAATAAAGATACACAATTCAAAATCCTAAGACATCCAAAAATGGTAGAAATTCAAAGCATGTTTCCTTTCAGGTTCAAAAGCCCAAGGTTCACTCACTAGAAATAATGGTTTCTTACATACATCTTTGAAGTTTTCCCTGAAAAAACAAAAAAACTTGCATATAAACAATTTCTTCCTTTTAATATAAATGTGTATGCATTTCATATGTATGATATATATGTAACATGTATATATATATATATATATATATCACCTTTATGTCTCTATACACAAACACTTGTATTTTTAAATACAAAAGATCATTTCTAGTCTCTTTTTTTTCATTTTAAAACATTTTGGTGATATTTACATATCACCATAGCTCTACTGATTCTGAAAACTGCCAATTATTCCATTATATGGATCTATTATTTGCATTTACTCCCAAATGATAAAATATATTGATTATATATAAACACATTTGTGTTCATGTGAGAGTGCTTCTGTTCATAGAAGTAGAATTCTTGGTCAAATAACTATCTCAAATGTTAATAAACTTTTCCAAATTACCCTTACCTCAAATGTTAATAGACTCTGTCAAATCAACACCCTTTCACCAACAGTGTGAGAAAAAGCACTGGACAATCTCACTATCATGGTCTAACATCAACCTATTCAATATGGTGTAGTCAAAATTTTAGTTCCTATGTTAAAGTTAAAACATGAGACAGTGGTACACCTCCAACATTTAGAACTCAACCTATGATTTTCAGCTATTTCAATCAAATGTTATATCTAAATTACCTGATTTCTTTCTCATTGTCCCACAGTACTTGTTCTAAGCCATTATTTGTAGACACTAATGAAAGCCAAGCTTTTAGAGAGCATTTCTCTATCGCCTCTCTTCTTTAGGTATAAAAATATTCTTGATTCAAGTTAAATATATAAATACCAATACATCTTTGATAATAAAATATACATGTTGATTTGCTTGAGAGCCATGGTGGAAAACTAATGAAAATCTGAATACTCACAAAATAAAATAACCATCCAAACATCAGGCACCATGAGTCAGTGACATAAAAAACCTGAATTTTCATTTGGGTATCATAGATACACACTCTTATAAAAATGTAATTGTGAACAAGATTGAAAATAAAATCTTATTATGGAAAGTAAAATCTGATTCTAATATTGAATACCTATATTAGTTTTCTATCATGGCTTAACAAAAATTGCAATGAAATCAGGAGCCTAGACAATGGCCATCTATCATCTCTCAGTTTCAGTTGAGTAGAAATCCTACAGGACTTACTTGAGTGCTCTACCTGGGTTATAATCAGACTGAATTCAATTGTTAATGGGTTTTACTCTTACCTAGAGACAATGGAAATCACTTACTTCCAACACATTTAAATGACTGGAAGAGTTGGTTCATTGTGCTTGTAGATTTGAGGTTCATAATCCCAGGTTGTGAATCATGGAACATCTTCTAGAGCTCACCTACATAACTTCTGTACTTGGCCCCTTTCAACTTCAACACTAGGAACAGCATGTCTGTTTCAATTAATGCTGCTAATCTCTCTGGTTTGCTGCTATATGAAGAAAATGATCAAGTACTAGCCTGGCAAGGGTGAGCATAGAGTTGAAGCCACAGTATTGTCAAAGAAAAAAGCAAAGTACCTGTTTTTTTATGTTTTCAATTGTAAAAATGGTGTACAGAAGGGGTACAGTTCCATGAGTAAGGCAATGAGTACATTTCCTATCAAGCATTGTTGCCTCCTCCTTTGTTTTTCCCCTACCATCCCTTCCCTCCCCATCTCCCCAACTCCCCCCTACCTGCCCCAAATTGTAAAAATATAGTGTCTTGTACATCTCATTGATACAATGGGTAAACCTGTATCCTTATTTCAACATTTTCTTATTTCCCTTCTCCTCCCCAAATTAGAAAAATGTATATATAAAATGCAGGACACTGACATCAAATACAGTGAAAAAAGGGGTTATACCATGGGGAAAGAACATAAAAAAGAAACAAAAAATCAGGTAGTCCATTTTAAATACATTTAAAACAATAGCAAGAAAGAAAAAGAAGTTGTGTCCCTATCTTGGGGTTCTGCATTTCACTTAACATCATCTTATATGGTCATATGTACATAGTTTTGACCTTTTCTGTTTGTCCTAGACTTATACTAGTTATTGCAAATAAGGGAAACCATGGGACTTACGTTTCTTTGGGCCTGACTTACTTCACTTAATATGATTTTTTCCAAGACTTTCCATTTCCAAACAAATGGGGCAATGTCATTCTTTCTGATAGAGGCATAGAATTCCATTGTGTATATATACCACATTTTCTTGATCCATTCATCTACTGAGGGGCATCTGGGTTGCTTCCATATCTTAGTTATGGTAAATAATGCTGCAATAAACATAGACGTGCTGGTAGCTTTAGTATAGCCTTTTTTGTGATCATTCAGGCAAATGCCCAAAAGTGGGATTGCTGGGTCATAGGGGAGCTCTATATGGAGTCTTTTGAGGAACCTCCATACTGCTTTCCAAAGTGGTTGAACAAGTTTACACTCCCACCAACAATGCAGTAAGCTTCCTTTTTGGTCACATCCCCCTCCAGCATCTGTTGTTATTAGGTTTCTTGATTATAGCCATTCCAACAGGGGTAAAGTGGAATCTCAATGTTGTTTTGATTTGTATTTCTTTTATGGCTAGAGAGTTTGAGCATTTCTTCATGTGTCTATTGGCCATCCTTCTTTCCTCTTCAGAGAAGTTTCTCTTTTAGTCTTTATTGGACAGTTGTTTCTTTGCGGATCTATTGTTGTGGGATTTAATTTTTTTGAGTTCTAAGTATATTTTAGATATGAGGCCCTTATTGTATGGCTAGTGAAGATCTTCTCCCAATCCATGGGCTTTCTATTGATCCTGCTATGTCCTTTGCCATGCAGAAGTTCTGCAATTTCATGCAATCCCATTTGTCCAACCTTTCTATGACTTGTTGTATTTCTGAGTCTTTATTAAGAAAACTTCAGCCTGTGCCAAGGAGACCTAGAGTTTCTCCTGTTCCTTCCTGTAATGTTTTCAGGGTGTCTGCTTTGACGAGGTCTTTGATCCATTTGGAGTTGATTCTGGTACAGGGTGATACATAAGGATCTAGCTTTAGTTTTCTACAGGTGTTTAACCAATTTTGCCAGGACCATTTACTGAAGAGGCTGTCTTTCTTCAATTCTACATTTTTTAGCTCCCTTATTGAAGATTATATGGCTATAGGTCTGTAGGTTCATTTCTGGGTCTTCAGTTCTATTTCATTGGTCCTCAGGTCTGTTCTTGTGCCAGTACCACCCTGTTTTTTTTTTTACTATTGCTTTGTGCAACACTATTTTTTTTTGTCAGTCATAGGGCCTGAACTCTGGGCCTGGGCGCTGTCCCTTAGCTCTTCAGTTCAAGGCTAGCACTCTACCACTTAAGCCATAGTACCACTTCTGGCTTATTCTGCTTATGCAATGCTGAGGAATTGAACCCAGGGTCTCATGTATGCAAGGCAAACACTCTACCACTGAGCCACCTTCCCAGCCCCAAAGTATCTGTTTTTAAAGAGCTTCTTTAATAGGCAAGCCCACATAGATCACATCCATATTTTAAAGTCAGTTTTCTTGGGACTTTAACAACTATACAAAAATTTAACAATAGTAGCTATATGATTTTTGAATGCTCAGAGGCTAGAATTCTTCAAGAACCATCTTTTAAAGTCTACATGCTACTCTTTCCAGATCACAGTAGCATTAAACCACAGAGAAGGGCCTTCTTTTTTACACTTAAATCTCCACATAATGACATAAGGGGTAGTATTAGAAAAGGTAAGAAGACATTAAGAGTATTTACTGAAGTCATTTTATTATTACATCTATAAATGGAATAAACAGTGATTATTTGGTCACATCTCCATATGAGTAAGGAAACAAATAATATCACTGACTTCTCTCATTCTGAACATCTATGCTGATAAGGCCACGGAATCATTTTGGTTTCAATTCATTTTTTAGGGTATAAGAAAAAGGACTGCAATAATTTTTAGAAAAACTCAGCTATTTTTAACATATAGATGTACTTCTGTCCAAAAGCATATTTTAATGTTCTCTGAGGTTATATATTTGAGGAAATATGAAGAAAAGTAATATGTGAGAGAGAAAAATCATGACAGATCTTATCCTATATCCATTTTAATGAAGATAAGGCTCTAGAATATTCACAGAGCTGTTATGACTTTGTATAATGTGGTCTAAAATGTTCAGAGCTAGAACACCTTAAAAGAAAAT